TACAGACAGGGTTAATTATTGGAAACAAAACTCCTCCCAGCCCCAGACAGTGTGAACTAAGCAGGATTTTTCAGTCCTGCAGTTTGCAGAAGCATCATGAAAATTATGTAAGCTGCAATTTTAATGCGTTTTTTGCAAGTGGTGCTTTGTGAATCCTTATTTGTGTGCAAGTGAAAATACACTGTAAGCTGTTAGAGATCATATACAGTAGGGATGCACCGATACCAGTTCAGATACCAGTGCTGATACTTGGCATTTTCATGAGAATTACGAGGGTTGCAGCAGGGACCTAGCTCTGGCGCTCCACCACTCTCCTGAAATCATTAGTCTGTATTGTTTTAGAAAAACTGTCACATGACAATAAACAAATGTATCAGTACTTGTATCTGTGAGTACTTGTACAAGTATCAGTACTTGTACTTGGAAAAATGGTAACGGTGCATCCTTTTCATATGTATAAAAATAAAATCATACATTAAAACGGAGATGTACAAATCCCAGGAGCTCCGCATGCTCCTTTAAAAATGACAGCTGCCTACCAACTTTTGAATTTTTCTCTAGTCCAGTCTTGAAGCTCAAAAAGCATCTGTACTTGTACCGAGTACGGTACTTGGCATCGGTGCATCCTTAATATACAGTATGTGTGCTGATTACAGGCAGGCACATACGTGAAACATTTTGAAATTACTTGAAATGTTATCAGTGAATTTAAGGGGTCAGTCCACTCATAAATGTGTATCTTTGGGTTTTTGCTTGATCATAGTTTTAAGTCACTTGACTGTGATATATATCTCTCGGGAACTCTAAATGTAATTTTTCTTTGTCTACGTACCTGCTTATAAGGGATTCTCATTCTCCTAATTTTTAATTTATTCTGTAATGTAACTGGAAATGCTGGTGCACCAATGTGAGCAGGAACACCCAAAACTACCAAGAGTTGGGATACCTAAGACATTATATATATCTACAGCGGCCTGAGCCACCACCTCGCTGATAACAACCTTCTCGATCCCTTACAGTCCAGCTTTCGCCTTCTACACTCCACTGAAACCGCCCTATTAAAACTCACTAATGACTTACTAACAGCTAAAACCAATGGCCACTACTCCTTACTCTTGCTATTAAACCTTTCTGCTGCTTTTGACACTGTTGACTACCTGCTCCTCCTCAAAAAAACTCCACTCTGCTCTCTCATGGTTCTCCTCCTACCTATCTAAGCGCTCCTTTAGTGTCACCTACAAATCTAACTCCTCCCCTCCTCTTCATTTTTATGTAGGGATCCCCCAAGGCTCTGTCCTTGGACCCCTTCTCTTCTCTATCTACACCTCCTCCCTTGGTCAGTTAATAACCTCACATGGCTTCCAATACCATCTCTATGCCGATGGCACTCAAATCAATCTTTCTATCTTTTCAAATCTATCAACAACTCACCCCCTCAGTGTCCTTGCGTGTCACTAATCTACTAACTGACATCTCGGTCTGGATTTCGCAAAACTTCTTAAAACTCAACCTTTCAAAAACTGAGCTCATGATATTTTCTCCTGCTCGTGCAACTTCCCCAAACCTTTCCCTTGAGATTGTTAACACAACTATCCAGCCCTCCCCCCATGCCAAGGTCCTAGGTGTCATTCTTGACTCAGACCTCGCCTTTCTTCCCCACATCCAATCACTATCCAAATCCTGCTGCCTTCACTTTCGTAACATCTCCAAAATACGCCCCTTCCTCAACAATGAAAATGCAAAATTACTCATCCACTCACTTGTTATATCTCGTCTTGACTATTGCAACTCCCTCCTCATTGGCCTTCCAATACCCTTCAATCAATCATGAATGCAGCTGCTAGACTCATTCACCTAACCAACCGCTCAGTGTCTGCAACCACCCTCTTTCAATCCCTGCACTGGCTTCCACTCGCCCAAAGGATAAAATTCAAAATATTAACAACCACTTACAAAGCCATCCACAACTCTGCCCCCGGCTATATCTCCAACCTGTTCTCAAAGTATCACCCTAACCGTCCCCTTTGCTCTTCAAAAGACCTCCTGCATTCCAGCTCCCTCGTCAACCCCTCCCATGCTCTCCTCCAGGACTCCACTAGAGTCTCTCCCATCCTATGGAACTCTCTACCTCAACCTGTCCGTCTATTTCCCACACTGACTGCCTTTACGCGATCCCTAAAGACTCATCTCTTCAGGGAAGTCTATCCCACCTCAACCTAACCACTGAACCATCACTTTCCAAAACAATTCATCCCCACACGGCTACCTCCTCATGTACCACTGGCCCCTCCCTTTTAGATTGTTAGCCCTCAGGTGCAGGGCCCTCCTTACCATCTTGTCTTGAATTGTGATTGTAATGTCTTCCTTATATTGTAAAGCGCTGCACAAACTGTTGGCGCTATATAAATCCTGTATAATAATAATAATATATATGCCATCAGAATCCACCATAACTAAAATCTCACTTTAGTGGATGGACTGTCCGATGTTGCATTGTAGATGTTGCTTTTTGTTCAGTGGAGAACATGGCTATGACGCACATTGTTTTTAAATATCTGAAAGGAAAAAGTCTGTTGTCTTGCTGTGTCTACAATCTGGCCTGTGTATCAATAGATTCTTCACTTAATCTAGTGAAGAATACACCTGCATGGCATGCTGTACAAAGAGTGACTGAAAGAGAGCCTAAGTTTTCAAAGCTAGATCACAGACCCCATAGTTAGACAGACATACACCCTGCCTGCTCTCATACCCGTCCTTGACTCTAGTTATCTTCTTTATTCTACGAGCTTGTGAATGTTTTACTTGGCCATAGCTATAAACTAACTAGAGATTTATCATTTGCACTAATTAGTAGGTATTTAATTACAGAAAATTGGTTGATTTCACAACACAAAGTAATTCTATAATATACTCGCTACCTTCCTAGTCACAGCAAACTAGCAATTAAATTAAAAATATATATTCTCGGATTTAAATGGATGTAAGGGTTGAGATCTATGTTTATAAGCTATAAGATGGATACATGTATGAATGTATAAAAATTAATAAATATATGGAAATGGAATGGAAGGCTGTATATTAAAACTAATAAAAGTAATTAAACACATAAAATATATATTCTCATGAGTTTTAGAAAAGTTTCATAACAGGAATTAAATGGAGATATTAACCACAGCAGCTCAATTAAACCCCTTGATTAATGTGTAGGGCTAAACGTTTAAACATTATTGGCTGCTATAGGCATCCACCCAGCACTTAACTAATTTACTGTATCTCCTCTGCGTCATCTGGTGTGCATGTCATGGGGTGTGCATGCCTGCACACCAAACGAAAAATAAAAGGTGTGTTGTCTGATTATATTAACTACTGAATTCAGTGTTGAAACAAGATATTTTTTGAAATTCAAGTGTGTGAACCTTCCAAAAGAGTTGTTTAGCTATTCTTGGGATCCAGGCAATTCTACCATACAGAATAGCCAGGTTAAGGAAAAGTTTGGTTCAGAAGTAGGGATGCACCGATACAGGTTTTTCGGTATTGAGTATGAGTACCATTCTGTATCTTTTGGTACTCGCCGGTGCTTCCGCTAGCATGGAGCCAGCTTCGCGGGCAATCAAGAAGCCGGGCGACGAGTAATGATACTCCGTCCGGCTTCTTGATTGCACGGGAAGCCGTCTCCATGCTGATTGGCCGTGAAACCTGCTTCCCAGCCAATCAGTATCGAGTGGACCAAACAGCATGGAGCCGGCTTCCTACAAAATCTCACTCCTGACCGGAAGTTCCGGTATCAGGGGCAAGTATCTGAGCATTTGGGCCAGTACTCGGTATCGGCACCAATACCGATACTAGTATCCGTATCAGTGCATCCCTATTCAGCAGTTACCCCTAAATGTTAGGGGTAATGTTTGGTTAGGAGTTAAGATTTAGGTTATGTTTTAACTTTGCTTTTACGGGTTAATTGTTTTGAAAAAACCTCACCCTAGCCTAAACCTAAAAAAATTAATGTTAGTGTATGTAAATAATAGCACTTTCTATTATTTGTTCCATTGGGGTTGAGGAAAATAGAACATTGTTGGCCTTCCACAGGAGGAATTCACTAATTCTGTGACTAGGAAAGACATGGGCAGTATGATGGGGCAGTTTTTTTTTAAGGTTGAGGATGTATATATTTAAATCCCAAAGCTGGGTATACACGGTTAAAATATCAAACAAAATCGTTTTTGGAACGTTATTCGACTTTCTGATCACTGATGCATTGAAATCGATGATCGATTTTGCCCGCAGTGACGAAAAAGATCGAGGATCATGTTGGACATTTTTTCTCAAACCGACAAAATTCTAACAGTGAATCCAGTTTTCGTTTGAAAAACTCCATTCATTCCAAAACCAAATGTTGAAAAAGAATGGAAATCAAGAAAGGTTTCAAGATGGTGAACTTGCATTGTTTTATGGCTGCCGTCTTGAAGGTGGGAATTTGTGGCTGGCTGCCTTGCTCTTTTCGTTTTAAAAAGTTGTTTTTTGAAAAAGATACAAGGATGTTATTGAGAATTTTCTGGAGCATGTAAAGATAAATATGTGGCAAGCCAAGAACCGAAATCCTCACTTCTCCTTGACTGTTGCGTCCAGCAAAGTGTTGTTCTCCCTGACAACTCATTACTTTAAAGTGGAAGATGGTGGCGAGAGATCTGTCTGTGTTACATTTGGATTCTTTTTCTTTGTCAAAGCCATGGCAATTCTTATTGTGACGGAGAACTACTTGGAATTTGGCCTAGAGACCGGTGAGGAATTCAAACGTGCTTCGTTCATACTTATTTAAGTAGTGCAGCATTTTATTAATTCTTTTCCTGGGTAGTGTTGTAATTTTACAGAATTGCTTGTAGCAAAATCTGAATTTAGTACATCAGACGATTTTGGCTATATTCGTGAGATGAACTGTTAAAATAACAAAACTACAGCTGTTTTTTGTTTTGTGTGTGGCAGAGTAATGACAGCTCAGAAACTTAACTCATTTGTTCTAGTTGTTTTGTTTTTTGCTATATTTGCATTTGAAAGATTTTCTTCCTGTGTGGTCACCAGTACAGGAAGTAAGCAGAATCTTATTAATGGGACCCAATATAAGCAACATCTTTAAAGGATAAGTTCACTTTTCTGACCATGTTCCATATTAAACCCATATTTAGTGTGTAACATGAAACATGCTCCGATTGCAACCCCCTCCCACTTACCTGAATCGGAGGGTTCTTCTCCCCACTGTCCGATATTTGGTTTTGAAAACTGTGTGGCTGTGTGTTGCCCCACCCACACACCTGCGACATCCACCTATCGCTGTTGAGGGGCTTTTAGTTTCAAAGGAATACAAGTGGAGTGCGTCACTGCACATGTAGTCCATTAACTCTGCCTTCCATCCATGTTACTGCATGCCCGTACCACAGTACAGGCATGAACCGGGGAGGAACTGTCTGCAAAAGCCAGAGCACTGCACCAGCATAAATGCATTTTTTTTTCTTTTATAGAGACATGTACATTTTATTTTTCAAAAAGTGAAAAACTTAAGAACCCCTGTCATGTTTTTTTCTGTGTGTGGGCTAGGAGGTGAGGGGAATTGTCTCCAACAGGTACACCTTAGGTAGACCTAACAGAGGTTCTATCACTTTACCATGCTGCTGAAATAGAAAGCAAATCATTTTGACTGGAATTGGGTTAGTACCTAATTGAGTTCTGCAGATCTCTGCTGTCTTCTCTGTTTAAGAATATTACAAAACATCTCCAACAAATACTGTTTGCATGTAAGACTCCCATGCCATAGATCGTCTTTGTTTTGTTTCTCAAATCATCATGAGCTTTACTGAAGGAAAACCTCTGGCTTTGACTCAGCAGGGGGTGGGTCAGACCACTGCAGATAAACCACTGCTTCCACACTGAAAGCATCAGCCCTTCTCTGCAGCAAGCTGGCAGGGGACCGACTTTTCCCAGGCTGTGGCTGCTTTTTCAATAAAAGAATTGTAAAACTTTGCACACCTTTAGACAGATTCATCTGAAATGTATTTGGTGGTTTTTATTTGGCTTTCAAGTTCATCTCCTTACATAGGATTGTCTAAAAACAAAAAAGTTCACTTCTAACTTTGATTCTTCTTCAATACTTCTTTTTTTTTTTTTTTCTTTTAGGCTTTTCAAATTTTAGTGAAAGTGCTGTTAAGTTCCTGCAGAAACAGGGATTGGAGTCTCAGTAAGTGTTTCATAAGAAAATATACAGTGGTTAAATGTTGTGATAAGTTCAGGCAATGCTTTGTTATACAGTCTGCTGGCAGACTGTATTAGTCTAGTTGTAACCTACACACACACAAAGTTTCACATGAGTTTTATTAGATATATTTCTCGGTCATCCATTGAGGGAGGGTCACAGGTCTGAAGAATTCTGAGACATTGGGTTATGTTAAAATGAAAGCCTGGCACTTTATGGCAATAACTCCTCCCACCTCAGTCCTGCCAGTTTCGCTTGGTGTACTCAGCAGAATGAATGCCTCCTTCTCTTCTGCTTTTTTATTTTGGTTTGTTTTGTTTCTTTGGTGGGATTCTACTATTAAGAGCTGCTAGTTGATTCATGCTGAATATGTAAGTTAAATCCTGCGGGTTTCTCTAGTTGTCAGGAAGCAGGTTGTTTTCTAGTATCAGTAGCGATGATTCATCCTGCGGTGGTCCAGAGTTCCTGTGGTCATGTCTTGATTTAACCACTTGCTGTTCGGGCCATTTTCTTACTATTTGCACACACTAAGGCTGCAGCTAGCGATTATTTTCAAAATGGATTAGTTAGCCAATTTATTGAGTTCAATTAATCAGATTTAAAAAATGGCTCCAGTGATGGACTACTAGTTTGTATTGAGATTGTAGTCCATCACAGGAGCAAGCTTGGAGTGGTGGAAGTAAAAAAAAAAGTGTGGTGTTCAATATAGTACATTATACATCGGCGCAGTGCAGAATACCAGCAGCTATAGAGGAATACAACAAATCACAGCAATAGTACATTATACATCGGCGCAGTGCAGAATACCAGCAGCTATAGAGGAATACAACAAATCGCAGCCATAGTACATTATACAGCGCAATGCAAAATACAACCAGCTATAGAGGAATACATCAAATCGCAGCAATAGTCCATTATACTATAATGTTCTATTGCTGGGATTTGTAGTCCTCTGTAGCTGGTGTTATTCTGTGTTGCGCTGTAGAATTTATTATTGCTGGGATTTGTAGTCCTCTGTAGCTTCTGGTATTCTGCAGTGTGCTGTATAATGATTATACGGCGCAATGCAGAATACCAGCAGCTATAGAGGAGGAGGAGACATCTCTCTCCGATCATTGCGGGGAGAGCCGCTCCCAGGCGTGGCACAGAGACAGCGGTGCCCAGGGAAGCTAGCGTGGGGGGACGCCGCACAGTACAAAAGATCCGTCGGCTGTACAGCCGTGTTCTTGTTTTAACCACTTATGCAGGCCGCCGTCTATAGACATATTGCGACCCGGAAGTGGTTAATGAGCACAGGCCTTTCCAGTCAACGTGCTGTGGATCCTTACTGCATTGGTCTTGTCTTCCTATCTGGTGAGGTATATTGGCTACCATTTCTGAGGTCGGGCCACTTTGGTCTGGTATTCCTTTTTATGTAGGAACCTGGACCGTGGACGTTTTGAGTAATCCAACCATGTTTTCCTCCCTGGGACCTTCCCTCCTTTTAAATAATTCTGTGAACTATTGTTTGTATTTTTTTACACTGTTTTTGACTTTCTGCTGTCCATTGTGAGAAGTGGCAGAGTTTTTTCTATTTTTTTTCTCCTGATATTTCATATGAGTCGGGGTCATGAGGTATACTAGGAAAAAGGTACAAGGTAAAAAGATACATTGCCTGTTATATTTATCTACTCCAATGCGGAGGGACAACTGCAGTGGAACATCTGACGATGTATCCACTCTGGTCTGTGTGTTCTAGAAATTACCAAAGGGAAAGGTTGTGTTAATTGTATCTCTGTTTTGTCTAAAACAGGGGTCTCAAAGTACCGGCCCGCGAGCCGGTACTAAGTGGCCTGCAGCCAGCTGACAAGTCGGGCACACGGTCAGGGACTGCGTGCCCGACTTGTGGGAGCAGCTACACGGTCTGCATCTCTGACGGATGCAGACCGCAGAGCTGCTGCTGTCGGCTTCGGCCGGAGCTCTGTCAGTTCTGAGCTCGGGCCGAATCATGGATGATTAGTAAGATCTGCACTAGACCTTATCACCACTAGATAACCAGGGAACGATGGGGTGCCTCCTCCCTGCACAGATGAAAGCAGGTGAGGGTGCTTGTCTACATACCACATGTAATTGTATGTGATATGATTACATGCAGTTACAAAAACAATCACTATCCCTGGAGACACAATTGTGTTTCCAGGGATAGTGACAGATTCCTAACTACATGTAATCCTTTCACATATGATTACATGCGGTGTGCAGGCGTTTACATGCAGCAGCTGTCACCCGATCATTCATTTGAATGGGTGACAATTGACGCATGTAACATGTGCATTAACACAGGACTAAAAAATGTATCCAGCGGCCCCCGACTAAATTGAGTTTGAGACCCCTGGTCTAAAACCTATTTATCAGTGGCTGCTTATGCATGCAGATCTGGTCTGCATTTAGTGTGAACAAGGCCTAAGGCTGGGTTCACACCTGGGCGTTTTTCAGCGCTGAAAAACACTCAGGAAGTGAAATCCCATGAATCCCTATGGGCATGGTTACCACCTGGGTGTATTTCAGCGTGATTTGTCGCGCTGAAAAAGTACTTTGAGCTTCTTTTTCGCGCGTAGGGGACAATTGTAGCGCGTATCCATTGTTATTCCCGAGTGTGGGTTGGGGATAACAAAGCGGTAACCCCGCGCCACACTCGGGAATACAGCTTAGGTTTTACTGGGGGGGGGGGAATCATACCGCCAGGGAGGTTAAAAAACGAGCGTCAAACGTTCGTTTCAGTGAACAAAAAAAGTGTTTTAAAACGTGCTGAAAAGCGAGCATAAAACGCTCGTATTTGGAACGCCCAGGTGTGAACCCAGCCTAAAGGTCCTAGAAAAGGTTGTCCGGCTTCTACTTGCACTATTTCTAAGTGGATTTGTCAGGTTGTTGCTAAAGACTATGAGCTACGGAATAAAGTGCCTTATTTTCCTATTGCCGCTGACTCTACCAGGCCATTTAGTACTTCTTGGGCTTTCACAATCAGGCTTCAGTTGTTCAAATTTGTACGGCCGCAACCTGGTCTCTTGTTAAAACTTTTACAAAGTTGAAGTTTCTGCCTCTTCTGATGCTAGTTTTAGCATTAAAGTTTTTCAAGCGGAATAAACAGAATAATCCAGAGCTGTGTCCCTCAATGGACAATAGAGAAAACACAGCTCCTTTCCCTGATTTCCTTTTATACTGCTTACTACAACGGTACTGCTTACTACAACGGTACTGCTTACTACAACGGTACTGCTTACTACAACCTATGAAGGTGTGAGGGGTTATTGCCTTGAAGTGACAGGCTTTCATTTTTTGACTATTGTCCATTTCTCCTGAAGGCAGCAGCATAGCCCTATGTCTCAGAATTCTTCAGTGCTGTGTCCCTCAGTGAACTGGACTGGTAAAGGACTGCAGAAAAAACAAAATCCTATTTTTTGCTTACCAGGAGATATATTTATAAAGTATTGACAAACATTCACTGGTGGTGATACAGTAACTGATCTAGAATGCATACGCCAGGAAGATTCACCTGCAGTAAATGTTTTATGACTGTTCGATTCCCTGCTTTATAAATATACCCCTAAGTGTGGCGTGATATATATTGTATGTGTATTCATGTAATCAAATGATATGATTGACTTTTTTTGTTTTTCTTCCAGAGGTCCAGTGTCAAAACTTACATTTAAACTATTTCTGGCAGTTTTGTGTTCTCTCATTGGAGCTTTCCTGACATTCCCTGGTTTGCGACTGGCTCAGATGCACCTTGACGCACTGAACTATACAAAAGAAACCACAACACAGTAAGAACTACAACATTTTTTGAGTACTTTTCATGTTCAGCACAACATTCTTAGATGACACAAGTCCATACAGGTCAGAACACTAAAACTTCACTTCCTGACCAGCAGGCCCTCTGCTGTCAGACCCTTGAACTCCAGCTCATGTAATTCATGCTGTATATTTAAAAAAATCTGCCCAGAGAGGACCCATCTGAAACCAGTGCCTGAAAATGTTAAACCCTTTCCAGCAATGCTTTATATTTTAGGGTATAAAATTCATTTCAGTACAGCGCTGCATGACGGAATAAATGTCAGTTAAAGTACCGCAGCGCTGAATACTGAAAAATGGCCTGGATGGGAAGGGGGTTTAACACCGCGGATGTCAACTGGTTAATAGGCGTTGTTAGTAATTGTAAAGAAAAATTGAAGAATCATTTTAGAAGGAAAGGTGTGAGATTGGCACCCTCAACTCACTCAACTGTTATGTTTTGTTGTTGTTAGTGAAGTGTTCTTTAATTCGGGTCTTTTCTGCCCGTGCGTGCCCGCTAGGGGGCGCGCGCGAGCAGAAAAAAATTGCCGTCTGGAGACGGCAACCCGCAGATGCAGCAGTGCCGTCCGTCCGTTTTTCTACTACGGGCGGACGGCAAGAGGTTAAAGCAGATATCCAGTCAGATATTATCGCAGGTTCTCAATTACATTTTCAACATGTATACACTACTATACTCTTTGCTGCAAGCATCCTCCACTGTGCGCAGTTTAACAACTTACTCCTCTGAAATCATTGTAATGGGACTTTTTTTAAATTATTATTGGTAATTATTACAAAAACAAACAGCCTGCTGTTGAACAGTGAAGAAGCAGCAGTTCACCAATGTCACCCCAATACACTTCCTTCTCTGTTCAGTATTAGACTGATAGTGCTGTTGTAGAGCACTGAGTGGTACAGATTTAGTTATTCATACTCACTCTGTCAGGGCCCCCTTTCACATGCTGACCATTTTGCTAATAGCCTATATTTAGGTAAACCACTGTACTCTGATGATATTGATCTGGCCTGCCTCTGCTTCACACTCTTCCCAATTAGCCACTGTCCTCATCATACACATGTACTTTATGGCTAGGTTCACACCTAGGCGATTTATCGCGCAAAACACAGATTCACATTGAAATTAATGGAGGCTGTTCACACCTTTTGCGGTTTGTCGCGGTGGACGAAATCGCCTGTCACCCGAAAAGGTACAGCAGCTATTTTCGGGCGGTTGTCGCACAGGTTGGGTCTCAGACCTCTCTATGCATTGAAAACCGCAAGTTTTTTAAAGAATAGTCGCACAAACGAAAACCGCTAGCCAGCTCAGTCGCCTAGGTGTGAACCTAGCCTTATTAAGTGGAAAGCCTGCCATCTTGTTGACATGTCTTCCATTGAAATTAATGGAGTTAAGCGGGGGGATTTGTGTAGTACCAAGCAGGGCGCACAAAAAAGATGAACCAGAGCCCTGTGGTTTAAAGAAAAACCTGCACTGCAAGGGTTAAGTGCTTGTTTTTGTCTAGGTTCAAAAATAACAAAATGATACTCACTGCAAGGGTTGAGAACAATTCCTGAAGTTTGTTAAGTTATTAGTAAATCCTTTTCATTGATATGTGGAACCCCAAAAAGTAACTGCACTAAAAATGATCTTTTTAATGTAAGGTTTCTGTGATAATGCATGCTTTTGTTTTTTTTGCAGATTTTTGCTACATATAAACTTTTTGTCTCCTTTACTAATGGTTTTGCTGTGGGTGAAACCTATAACCAAAGATTATATTCTGAATCCACCCTTGGGCAAAGAAAGTGTACCTCTGTAAGTGATTTTATATTCTGTTTGATATGACCCCTTGTTTATGGTACTTTTACCATAAATGGAAATTTACACAAAAAATTGAATTCTTGGTAATTTATGCAGTACAGTTACGATCTTGCCTAAGACCGATGCCTGAAAATACTGAACCCTGTGCAGCCATTAATAATCTATTTTAATGAAGGAGTTTTGTTAGAGCTTGTAAGAAAAAAAAACTTAAGAGTAATTCAGTACCTGTATCCTCTTCACTGCAGATGGCTGAAATTGTCTGTGTATAGGTGGGTGGGAGCTGTTATTCAGGGATTCAATTAAAGAGCAACTACAAGCAGAATGTGCATAGTTGTCCTCCTGAAAGACAGGCATGTTGCATTAGACATAAGGTCTACAGTCCATCCAGACTGGTACCTTCACAGGGATGTTAAACAAAAAAAGATGATGTTGTCTGCCACTAATATAAGCCCCTTTAAGTAAATCATTGTATATCTGAACTCTATATCCTAAACACGTTTTTTCACAGCAGTGGTGCATGTTGTGTTTCATCAGAAAAAATCTGTGATGGTCGCCTTACAGTTGTTCAGCAAGTATTTATTTCTGCAGCAACAGATGGATGGTTTCTCATTGTAATCTAGAATATAAGGCTGGATTCTTAGTGGTGGTGCGATTGGCAGAATTAATAGAAGGGTTCTTTGTCTAGTTGAGTTACTCCAGGCAGGGCTCTGGTTTACACTCTTCACTTCCTTCAAACCTGAAATTGTTCTCTCTGTAATATCCTGGTGATCTTGCTGGTGTTGCGGTTCTTGTGCGGTTTCCATTTTTGTATTTAAGAGAATTTAAACAATCCTCTGTTGTCCAGTCTTTACACAACATCTGTCGCATTTTCTTTGGTTTTCTGAGCATGTCTTTGGAGGAAGCAAGTATCTGCTCTTTACTCAGTTTTTGTGATGGGAAGGGGGTTTAACACCGCGGATGTCAACTGGTTAAGAAAGGATTCATCATGCCTGATCACCCCTGTGACTCGCTGTGGCCTAGAATAATTTATACGTGTCTCGGCTGAAGGTGGATTTGTGCAGTCCAGCATAGATGTGTTTGTCAGGCAGTGGGGTCATCTTAATGTGGCCAAGAAGATTTCCCCAATTTCGCCATGGGGTTTTTTTTTTCCCAAAGAGGGCATCTTTGCTCGGGTGGTGCAGCAGGCATCTGGAGACTGCAGAGGGACAAATCAGTGCAATGTTTTTATGTTTCTAAATGGGGCTTTTCTTGGGCGTGTATGTATGATACTCTATGTCCACACTTTGTCAGATCTGCATCATATGTACCTTTTTAAGAAGATGCAAGCTGACCATATTGATTTGCAATGCCAGAAAGCGTGATACACTGATTTGGGTTGGCTGCATCCCCTGTGTTTTATAAAAGTGTATATCGGGGCAAAGTAAAAAATTAAGTACATCAGTGCTTGCAATACCTGCTTGTTTCTAAACACTGCGAGTACAGAAAAATACCTTTTGATCTACCAGCAGCTCACTGTGCTTCTATCTTCCTGTTTGAGCTGATAACACAAGGCTTTTGCTGCACTAAAATGTCAAGCAGTAATATCAGCCCTGCCCAATTCTTCCCTTCGATTACAGGATATCTGACCCATATGTCATGTAGAGAAGACAAGGGGGTGTTCTGTAGTCCGGCAAAAGAGAACTGGCCTGGCTGCACAACACTGAAATGTATTGAATATGTGTTTTTTTTTTATTTTTGTGTTCTTTGCTTTTTTGCCCTAGTGTGACTTTAAGTGTGACTTAAGTGTCTCTTTTATTGTTATCAAATCTCAGTAATATGCCCAGAATTTTGAGAAGAGGAAGCATTCCATGACGTTTGTATTATGGTAGCATAGTGATTACAAAGTCAAAACCTTGACATGGTGGAAGATAGTTTATGATCATAGCCAATAAACATGGTGTATCACCATTGCAGACTAGTTTGTGGTTAAGTATTTCTACCAATAGCCTGTTGTTAATGTAGCATGAATAAAAAAAACAGCACTTAAAATTCAAAACTGAACATTTCCGAATGTACAGTTCAGATGTCCATACAATTTTGTCCAAAACATTCAATTTGGTAATTGAAGTTTTTTGAAAATATTCTAGAGAGCTAAAGGTTGGTTAGACAGGTGTGAGCATTCTCAGTTTATACCTTTTAGTTAACGTGTGTTAGAACTGCTGTAGCATTTGGTGGATAATAATGAATTCAGTAGAGGTGTTCTTTGCTATAACCACCATCATTTATTGCCTTTGAAAATGCTATAAGCGGTTGCTAAAAGATAGAAAGATGGTTTTATCTGCCCAGATTTAATGGGTCACTTTGTATATCCCAAAATAATTCTTTGCTTTAGAGAGTGATAACTTTGTATAAGTTATAAAATACTTTGATCAATTTAGCCTCCATAAATGATCTTCTTTGTATTAACAGAATGACTGAGGACACCTTTGATACGGTTCGGCTTTGGATCATCATTCTGTTCTGCGGTTTAAGGTTGATAATGATGAGGCATCATATGCAAGCATATTTAAATCTGGCCCAGAAATGTGTGGATCAAATGAAGAAGGAAGCTGGGAGGATAAGCACCAAAGAATTACAGAAGATGGTGAGTGTGTTTTATTGCCCGCCATCCGAACATAATTGGGTCCTATCTGTTGATCTGTGTCTGAATATCCTCCCATATTTCATACTGTGATCTTGAAGTCATTCCAGATAATCAGGAATCCTGTACATTCTTAGTAGGGAACTACCTGGTTGACATCATGCAAGGTGATAGTCTGTAAAGAAAGAAGCATATTGGGAGGTTGGATTTTCTAGAACAGGAATATAGATGACAGAAAACCCATATTTATTTGGCTCCAACTACCCATTGCATTACAGGGACTTAAAAACTGCCCAGTGCTGATTTCATAATTAAAACATTTATTGTGCCGATATATTTAATACAGTGTTTTCTGTTGACAGAAAAGGCCTGCTTTTCTTTCTTTCCCTTTTTTTCTTTTCTGTGATTTTATGGTGGAGTTATTATGTTAACATGCTAAGTAACTAATGGGTTATTCTTTTGTTTCTAGGTGGCTCAAGTATTTTATTACCTTTGTGTTATTGCACTGCAGTACGTGGCCCCTCTGGTGATGCTGCTTCACACAACACTGCTTCTGAAAACACTAGGTAGGCATTACCTGACAAATGATATTTATTCATACTGGTCTGGTAACAGACTGGCATATTGGTGTACCCTGGGTTACATAGCACTCATCCAGGAGATGCAACCATCCAGGTAAAAGGCCCCAGTTATGATCCTAGCATTTATCTTCATGACATGGTTGCCTTGATAGATACCTTTTTAATTACTAATATTTTCAGCTTTCCATTGTCCCCGTTTCTGACTGTGTGGAGATGTATTCTATAGCCTGTAAGCTCGTTACAGCCTTACCCACGCATTTTAGCATAAAGGAGGTTGCTCAAAATCACATAACAGGATGCAGACCTACTCAGAAACCTGTCTGTTAAACAAATCTTTTAAATCTGACTGCCATCCAGGATTAGGTAAATGAAATTGATTTTTATGATATTAGCAAAGTAGCAGTGTGTTTTTGCAGAGCATTAGTTGCACTTGAAATTAAATGCGTAACTCCAGCCAAAACATTTTATTTCTCTCCCGTTCATTGAAGGACACTGGCTTTGGCTCCAATTGAGGATACTAGTGCCCGGGGACCGCATGGACAAGACGTCTGTTGTGCCTTGTGGAGGCTATTCCCGTTCATTGAAGGACACAACAGATCGTAGATCCTGAATGGTAGGGTAATATCGCCACCTGCAGGAGAAGTACGCTAGGCACAAAACTAAAGACCAATTACAGCCTAGGGGTGGCCCCTGCCGGTGGCCAAACCCCCCACCTGCTGACAAGTCTCCAGTTTTTTGCCTAGCGTCAGGAGTAAGGAGCTTCAAATTTTTTCTCTTGCATTCTTGCGGGATTTCTCCTGTTTTTTTCGCTGGATCTTCTAGCAAGTGTCGGCAGGGAGACAGGCTGGATGTTTGTGGATCCTTGTAGTCTTCCCTGGACGACCGGCGAGCGCATGCAGACTCTGCCACGGTGGGTCGGCTGCGACAGCTCTGTTTTTTCAACGGAGTGGCCTGTGGGCTTGTCCCTGTGGGGTGCATATGACTGGGGGTCTCGGCCTTCCAGTCACAGCACTCCACTCAGGCTGGCGGCGCCGCGGCTGAGGTCGGGGGCGTTTTTCCGCCACCCCTGCGCACCCTGATGCCGGGTTTTCAGAGAGGGCTCCCTGGAATCCTCCCCCCCCCCTGGATGATGGTGGTGGTCGTGGGTTCGGAGTCTGCCCGGTTCCCCCCTGGTACGGTATGTATGTGGGGGTCTGTCTGGGGCTGTGCGGAGGATCTCTGTGTGCTGCCTTTCCTGATGGTCGTCTTACCTGGATGGCCCCTCGTGGTTGCGGTGGCTGAAGGCTCCGGTCTGTGTGGGATGCTGCTGGGGGACGCGGTTCTCTCATGCCGCGTTCCTCCCCCCTCCTCCTCCTCATTAGCAGGTGTTCTTGAGGCAGAGGCCTTCACTGGAGGGTCTGGATGGTCCTGAGGGGTCTGACTGTGAGCGGCACGCGGCGCGGGAGGTCGCGGTACCGCGGCCGCATGTTCGTGCTGATTTTGGCCCCTCGTGCGCGGGCGGCCGAAAATCGAGGTCCCGGCTCCAGTTGCGGCCTAGTCCGGATGCCGCGGCCGCCATCTTGGTTGAGGGCGGCTTGCCCTTTCTGCCTGACCTCACTTCCGGTCCGCGGGTGGATGGGGCGGTCCTATTTTGCCGTGATGGCGATTTTCAAGGGAGACACAGGTCTGCTGCTGCAGCTGATCCAGGCTGTCGGGTCCATGGCTGGAGGACGTTTTTTGCTGCATCTTCCGTTCTGCTGTGCCAGGGGCCGTGAGTTGCTGGGTTTCCTTCTACCTGCGGGGGTCTCAGCTTTGGCTCCAATTGAGGATACTAGTGCCCGGGGACCGCAGGGACAAGACGTCTGTTGTGCCTTGTGGGGGCTGCGGGCTTCCCCTGGAGGCTGCTTGTCCTTCCCTGCCATGGGTGTTTTGCACACCTGTGTCCCTTCCCCAGTCGTGGTTGCTCCCTTGGGGTCCTATGTGGGGGTGTTCAGTCCTGTGGGTACTGCGCTGTCCCTGGGGGTCTTTTCCTCTGCCATTGCTGGGTTGTGACACGCATTGAGCGCGTTTTGATGCCGGGGCCCCCCCTAGAAAGCGGGCTTTGCCATTGCCGTCTCCTGCTCTTTCGGGGGGGGTCCGAGGGGGAGAGGGTACTTCCCACAGCGTCGCCTCATGCTGATCGTCATGGTTCCTCACGGCCAGATCCGGCCAGTGTGGATGAGGTGGCGTCTGCGCTCCTGGTTCGGGACCGTGAAATCGTTTCAGCGCTAGTCCGCGCTGTCAGGGAAGATTGCTTCAATGGGGATACTCCCGGCTCTTCCGCACTGCCGCCAGTGCAGTGTGGTACGCATCAGAGTAGGCTTTTCGCCTACGTGTTTACTTACATCTCCTTTTTTGATGACTTTATTTATAAGGAGTGGAAGGGGCTTACCAAGTCCTTTTGCGGTCCCTAAGCGTTTTCTCGGTCGCTATCCCCTTGGGGAGGCCTGTGTGTCTCCGTGGTCTTTTCCCCCGGTCTCTCGTTTGCACATGGCCCCGGTTATCCCGGGGGAGGATTCTCCGTCCTTTAAGGACCCCTCCGATAGGAAAGCTGAAGCGCTTTCGCTGTCTCTGTACTCCTTCTCGGGGGCGCTTGTGCGTCTGGTTTTGGCTTCTGCCTTGGTGTCTCAGACTCCGACGGAGTGGGCTCAGATGTTGCACCAGGGTCTTGCGGCGGGGAATGTCTCTCCCGCTTTTGTGGACCTGGCGGACCGATTGGTGCGGGGCCTTCGTTTTGGCTGCACTTCGGCTTTGGATGTGGCACCCTTGGTGCCCAAGCTGTCGGTGTCGCCGGTTACTTTGGCTTAGGTGCTGGTCGGCTGCTCGGGCTTCCGAGCGAGCTCTGTCGGTATTGCCTTTTACTGGGGACCGTCTGTTTGGATCCCCCGTGGATGGGATCATTACGATCTACAGGTGGTAAGAGTACCTCTCTTCCCCAGGCGCGCACGAAGGAGCAGCGCCGCAAGCCTGGGGCCTTTTTCTCCGCTCACCAGCGGGGTTTTTCAGCGTCCTCCGACGAGGGCGGGAAGGGTCACAAGCCCTCCCCTTCACAATGCTCCGAGCGCCCATGGCAGCCCAAGTCCGCATGGAGGTCGCGCCCTGGCTCTGGTTCACCCACGTGAACCAGAGCCCACGTCTCCCACACTTGGTTGGCCCACGTCTCCCACACTTGGGTGCGGGGGCTGGTTTCTTCGGGCTACAAGATGAAATTTCTGTCCCGTCCAGGGACCGGTTCTTCCCGTCCAACACGCGACTCTCCTTCGCGGTTGGCGGATCTCCGTCGAGCTGTGGCGGACCCTTTGCTCCCAGGGGGTGATCGTGCCGGTTCCGTCCTTGGAAAGGTTCCAAGGGTTTTATTCGAACCTGTTTACCGTGCCCAAGATGGAGGGGGTTCGGCCCTTCCTGGACCTCAACCGCTTGAACGCCTTTATGCGGGTCCATCGGTTCCGGTTGGCGTCGATAAGATCCGTGGTGGTCTGACTTCGTCGGGTAGGCCTGCTGGCATCCATCAACATCAAGGATGCCTACCCTCATGTACCCTTTTTACGCGTCTCATCAGAGATATCTCCGTTTCGCGGTGGCATATTCATTTGGTGGCGCTGCCTTTCGGGCTGGCGCCTGCTCCGCGGGTGTTCACCGAGGTGCTTGCCCTGATTCTGGCGCTGTTGCGTTGTCGGGGGGTTTCGATCGTGGGCTACCTGGACGATCTGCTTCTGCGGGCGGAGTCGCACTCCTCTCTGGTGGTGGCTCTGGAGGTCCCGGAACAGTCCTTGGAGGAGTTCGGTTGGCTCCTGAACCTCCGGAAGTCTTGCCTGGTGCCTTTTCCACGCCTGGAGTATCTGGGACTGGTTCTGGACACTGTCGCGACCCGGGTTTTTTTCTCCCTCGGGACAAGCTCCTGCACCTTCGTTCCAGAGTACGGCTGCTGCGGTCTCGCCGGTGGTCGTCCATTCGTGGCCGTGCAGCGTCGTTGGTCGCTGGAGGAGCTCCGTCTGTCGACAACTGTGTTGGAACTTCGGGCGATTCGCTCTTTATCTCCTTCATTGGTCGGCCCGGCTTCAGGGTCAGGCAGTTTGGGTCCGGCCGGACGACGCCACCGGGCTGGCATACCTTAACCCCCAGGTCGGGAGGTGTTCAGGTTTCTCTCCTGGGGATTACATCCCGGGGGTGGGCAATTTGGCTGGTCAACTACCTCCGTCGAGGGTCGGTGGACCCGGGAGAGTGGTCACTGCACCCGGGAGTTTTCAGCAGCTCTGTCTTCGCTGGGGGTCGCTGGAGGTGGATCTTCTGGCGTCTCGGTTCAACCGGGAGGTGGACCGCTTTGTGGCCCGGGCCCTGGATCCCTGGGCGGAGGCGGTAGTTGTCCTGGTGGCTCCGTGGGGTCATTACGGGCTGCTTTATGCCTTGCCTACGGGCTGCTTTATGCCTTGCCTCCACTGTATCTGTTGCCTCGGCTTCTGCGACGCATCGCGGCCGAGAACGTCACCGTCCTCCTCGTGGCCCCGGACTGACCTCGGAGGGTGTGGTGCACGACTGTGGTTCACCTGGTGGTGGACGCCCCGTGGCGGCTGCCCCTGTGTCCAGATCTTCTGTCCCAGGGGCCTGTGTTACACTCTTCTTTACAGTCGCTGGCTTTGACGGCGTGGCTGTTGAGGGCCAGGTCCTGAAGGACTGGGGGTATGTCCGCTGCGGTCATTTCCACTATGCTCGGGGCGCACAATGCGGCTTTTTGGAACGCTTCTCATCGCACTTGGAGGGCCTATTTTGCCTGGTGTGAGGCTGGGGCCCTGTCCCTGCGTTTATTCTCCGTCAGCAGAATTTTTGCAGCGTGGGGTGGCTCAGTGGCTTGCCTTGAGTACTGTGAAGGGCCGATTCTCTGCCTTGGCGGTGTTTTTCCAGCGTTCCTTGGCGTCTACTGCTCTGGTTTGCACTTTTGTTCAGGGGGTCCCGCGCTTTGCACCCCCTGTCCGCTCGCCTTTGGCTTCGTGGGACCTGAATCTTGTGTTTTCAGTGTTGCAGGAATCTCTGTCTTGAACCGCTTTGGGAGATTCTGCTTATGTCCTTGGTCACAGAAAGTGACCCTTTTGGAGGCCATCACCGTTCGGCGGCTGTCTACATTGGCTGCAAGTCCCCATTGCTGGTCTTGCATGGGGACGAGGAGGTTCTCCGTCCTCGGCCGGCATTCCTGCCGGTGGTTTTGTCGGTTTTCCGTCTGAGTGAGGACATTGTCTTACCTTCCCTGTGTCCGCTGCTGGTCCATAGGAAGGAGCGGGCGCTCCTCTGTCTGGATGTGGTTCGCGCTTTCCATGTTTATTTGGGTGCTGCGGCTTCTTTCTGCAAGGCCGGCTCTCTGTTCATGCTCACGGTGGGCCCTCGTAAGGTCCGGGCCGCATTGGCGGCTACCATCTCTAGGTGGATTCGTACTGTTGTGTTTCAGGCGTACGTTGTTAGGGGGCGTGAGCCTCCTTTTTTCCTGTCACTGCCCATTATACTAGGGCTGTTGGGGTTTCCTGGGCTTTCCGCCATAGGGCCTCTGTTTCTCAGGTTTGTAAGGCCGCTACTTGGTCTTCTGTTCACACCTTTTTGTTACGTTGTACGAGGTGGATGTTTTGGCATCGGCGGATGCTGGTTTGGGGCGCAAAGTGTTGCAGGCGACTCTTTGAGGTGTCTTTTGGGTGTTTGGTTGTTGTTGCCCATCCCTCAGTGTGTACTGCTTGGTGACGTCCCTACCATTCAGGATCTACGATCTGTTGCCTGTGTCCTTCAATGAACGGGAGAGAAAATAGGATTTTTGTACTCGCCGTAAAATCCTTTTCTCTCTGTTCATTGAAGGACACAGGCCCCGCCATCTTTATGGGGTGTACACACCTAACTGCTTGTTACTAAACTGGAGAATTGTCAGCAGGTGGGGGGTTTGGCCACCGGCAGGGGCCGCCCCTAGGCTGTAATTGGTCTTTAGTTTTGTGCCTAGCGTCCTTCTCCTGCAGGTGGCGATATTACCCTACCATTCAGGATCTACGATCTGTTGCCTGTGTCCTTCAATGAACGGAGAGAAAAGGATTTTACGGTGAGTACAAAAATCCTATTTTTTGGAGAGAGTGGAGAAAGATTAGAACCATTACACTGAATGATTTCTGGATACATAACTGAAATAAAGGGGGTTTTATAGAAAGTTCTGCTTTTCAGAGCACCCGAACTGTTCCCCTAAAAAAAGACAAGCAGGGGGCAAAAAGCTAGTTACTATGAAATGGGAGGAGAGTTTCAGAAACAATAGTTCCACAGAATAAATAAAGAAGCAAGGAGGTATTCGCATTGTGGGTCCTCAGGTACAGATTTCTCTATTAAGGAGAACAGTGAGCAGCACAGTATCTTTTTAAATATTGTGAGACCAGCAGTCAAAGGCAGCTGTGCCTTGCGTGTTCTCTCGCTGCAAATAAACAGCTATGAGGCTGTAGGCACAGAATGTACACTGTTATTCTTTAGGAACCGATTCAAGACAAAAGGTTAATCTTTCAGGTTACTGTTTGGACGCAGTTGGCATTTCTAGGTTTTCCATATAAGGTAGCAGATTTTCATTTTTAGCGTTTAGGTCTTTTTTCTTTTGTTGTTGCAGATAATTGTTCTAACATGATTATTACTTTAATCTTTACTTTTAAAATGTATTTTAGGTAACCATTCATGGGGCATCTATGAGTCTCCTGTGGAGGCAGCACAAGGGTCAAACTCAGGTTTTTCCGAACAGCCCTGCCCTGAAGAAAAGATGAAGGCTACAGTCACCCAAATTACAGTGGCACTAGGGGGCTTGAAGAACATTTTCACTCCACTCCTCTTTCGAGGACTCTTATCATTTTTGACATGGTGGATCGCAGCTTGCCTTTTCTCCACCAGCCTTTTTGGCTTGTTTTATCATCAGTATTTAATAGTGGCATAGTTTGGTGAATTTATATCTGTAACCATAACATGGACCAAGTTGGAGACAGCTGCAACAGCTAGAGCACACACGGTTCTGCAGCACCCTGTCTTGTATCAATGTTTTCTCTGTATTCTCAGGGTAAATATTGTATCAAATCACTGTCGTGAGCTTAATCTTCATTACCTCAGAGGAAGAAGACCTAACTGCTGATCGCTCATAAAGATAGTTTTGTTTTTTTAATGACTGTAAGAGATGCTCCTATAAAGACATCATCTTCGACTAGCGGTCCTTGCACTCACATTCTTAATTGTTGTTTTCCTCTCTCACCAAGTACGGATAGCAAATCTTTTTTTTTAAAATCTTTCGTTATAGATCTGAGCCATACGAAGAAAAGGCTTGAAGGTGACTAATAAATAATTTCTGCTGGGCCCGTCCATTTTTAGTGACGCAAGGTCCAGCAGCACAGAATGTATTACTACTGTATATTACAGTAAATGTATGTCAACAACTGTGTGTAATTTGGTGACCTTTTATGTGCCTGGGGACATGTGTGGCGCGTGTGTGTGCATGGGAGAATAACAAAATGGAATTCTGTTCTGTACAATAGTTTTTACATCACTGAATACATAAACATTCAACAAGTGATGGTGCTAGTACTTGCTCGTAGGACTGCGTGTAAGGGTTATGCTTGCAATAAATAAAATAAATCACTTTTGTTAAGGCTGAATTTGTAAGTCACTCCAGTGATCACCATAAAAAATTCTAGTGATTTCACGTATAAGGTATTTGGTAAGTGCCGTCCACTTGCAACATGTTTAAAGGCTTTTTGGACCACTTGGCTTAGTGCCAAACAGAAACATAAGGCCAAAATACTTGTGGTGCAAAATACATGGTCCTGTAAAACTTAATCTCTTTAATAGGTTTGTAATTAGTCTGAATTGATTCCTATCGCTGTCCTTGTTTTTACATTAAAATGGGCTTGCATACTTGTTTTAAGTCAGTGACTTACAAGGCACTGAAGTCATTAGATCAGGATGTGAAAGATGGAGAGATTACCTATTTTGGAGTCTACAAGGGTGCTGTTTGGCAGCTCAGTCAGTAGGGCCTCTAATGGGCATGCCAGATGAAATCCAAGAGGTATAAGGGGGAAAAATCTGTATCAGACAAAGCCTTAAGTGACATGAAGGGTTTATTTCATCATAAAATGTCACAAATTCCAGCCAACACAGGTTCTAATGGCCTCCCTTCATCCGGGCTCAAATTTGCTGGTAAAGATCTGGATTGTCTTATGCTTGAATGGGTTAAACATTATAAACATAAAGTCAGCATTAAGGGCCAGCTCTAGCAGCTACTTGCAAAGCTTTGCAGGGTAGGGGATCTAGACAGGCCTATATATTACATGGATTGGTTGGGGTCCTTTTTGCATCACCATACAGGCTTAGAATGCAGTATAGGACATACATTTCATTAGATACAAAGAGATGCCTTCTTTTGTGCCCTGTACCCACAGACCAATTAATATAGAGCTGGGGCATATTACTAATTTCTACCAAGTTCTCCTAATGCCCATGACAGAAAATGTGTAGAGGGTCCATACATGTAAAACCTTATCTTGATACTGCTCTTTCATAAATTGTGAACTGCAGTGTCCATGCTGGGTTCTACAGTCCCATTCATCTCTATCCCTCTTCCCAGTGAGCCTCTAATGCAAGACTCTGGCATACGTCTGGTTGCAATATTGCCTAAGAGCTTTGTTTTATTTAGGTTTATGTGAATTCCACTGTTCCTCAACTTTTTTTCAGCCACAGCAGCCTTTAAAATTATGCAAAATCTTGAGGCACCCCAGTCTAAAACATACAAACCATAAATGTCCAAAATGCATGCAAAAACATAAAAAAAATTAGCTGGAGTTCCCCTCTTCACGTTAAGAGTCTCCTATACATCAGAGTCCCCCTTCACATTAGAAACTCCCTCCTTTCACATCAGTCTCTCCTTCTCACACTAAGAACCACTCTTCACATCAGCAGCCCCCTTCACATCAGAGTCCCCCTTTTTCACATCAGAGGCATGATGCTGTGTGAAAATTTCAAGGCACCCCTGAGGAAGCCACAAGGCACTCTGGTTGAGAAAGGTTGTTTTATTCCATTAGGCACCAAGTAAATGAGACCGTAAACTGAGAATTTGATGAATAAACGGTTACATTGCATATCCCTAATGGCACTAGAGATGGTTTTGTTTTAGAGTTCTATGAACGCTTCTTCTTTTCTGACCAAATCGCAGAGAGTTTTTGCCTAGGTTCATTATCACAACTGTCATGGCCTGCTTTAGACATGTAGCAGTCTAAGCAATGAAAAATGTTACATGGGAAATAGTTGTATATGATGTTTTTCATCCCACATTTTTTTTCCATGCCAAATATCCTTTCACACTGCTGTCAAATATATTTTTTAGATTCATATATAATTATATGCACATTTTGTTTACAAAAATATTTATATAAATTCTGTTTTTAACCTATTCTAATTCTTCACCTACCTACTGGTCAAGCTGTAGTTTGATTTTTCTGCTGTAAATACTGACTGGAAATAGCCAGCCTACGGCACTGTGGATATTGTTGACCTGTAACATCCAGTTTGATCTAACAACCAAGGTGGATTGTGAGTGGTCTCAGAAACAACACATTTTTAGACTATTAATCAAAGTACACCTTGTAGATACAAAGGCTGACCTAATTATCCTGCTCTCTGGTCGTAGCAGATAAGTTACACAACTTTGGAACAAAAGGCATCTCTGAAAAAACTCGTACACATTAAAACACATGGGTTTCATTTTACGGAGGGCAATAAACTAATATTCAGAGCTTCAGAAACATTTTTTTTTTATAAATCATTAAGCAAGGCTCATGTATGCAGTTCGTCATACATTTTAAGGTTTATTCGCCCTTTCTGACCACACACAGTGAATTTTTTGTATGTGGCTTGACTCACGATGTGTGTGTGTGTGTGTGTGTGTGTGTGTGTGGACATTTTGAGCACTAGGGTGCAGCTAGGCTAATGTCACACAACATGTGTTGGATTGACAGATTACATTTTAAGGACTTCATTTCTGTTGATGTCCATGCATTTTATGGTGCTAGGAATTTAAAGGAAAATGTTACATGTGTCCGCTGTGTACAAGCACTAAGGAAATCCCTTGATTTGTATTCAAAATGATCATCCTGGGTGAATGTGCAACACAGTACAAAAATGTACCTCTGTTTAGTTTTAACCAAGGGTGTAGGTTCCCAAACTCTGGTGCTTACTGTTCTACTCATTCATTTTCTGAAAAATATCGAGAGCAGGCCAAGAGGGACAAGGCAGAATGCAGGCTGGGAATGTAGGAGCTGGGTTTCCAGGAGAAACTTAAGTGAGATAGCGTTATAGAAAAGCAAATATGTTACTGTACGCCATCTGACTGGCTCTTTTTCATTCACAACCTTTCCAAGGCATGCCAATCCTTAGAGAACTGGGCTAGGCAGCTTCTGCAGTCCTGTGCAGCAGCTACTTAGACATAAGCATTGTAGCAACCAGAAAAACAAGATAAGTTGTCCACAAATCAATAATTCATTGTTTGCTGTAACTATTTCAAACAATATCTTAAAGTCCTAACTCCAGACAATGTTTTGTTTTTTTCTGGTGGGAAGAGCTCATTTCTGTCATGTTTTTGTCTTTGTGTCCTTATTTGGGAAATTTCCCCTCCTGTAATGCACACGAAACGGGCTGTGTTCCTGGCACTGGGACAGGAAGACACACACACCAAATAAAATGTTTTCAGACGTTCTAGCCCTTCCCGACTCTTGGAGACATTTCCCTTTTAGATCATGTCCTGAAGTTCGTCCAGAAAGTGATGGAAAAACTGTGCAATAGTGACACAGATGGCAATGAAAAACTCAACAGGCAATAACCCTTCCTCGCTCGAATCAAAACAAATGAGCAAGTTTTAGTTGGAGCTGGCCTTTAAAGTAATCCTGTCAAACGTTGAGGCTGCCATTGCTGAACTCTGACAATCTCATGTCCTGGTTGTCATACTGGTCCTCTAACCTCAATACATTGAGCCACTGAACTGGAACAGACATGCAGACCTGGACTTTACTCTGGCCTTCCTGATCTGGATATTGGGTTGATAAATCATAGCATTTAAGATGGAAGGCCATTCTAACAGCCAGACATCTAGCATTTTTAGTAGGTTAGGCAGGGCATCCCTACTTCTCTCGTCACAGGTCTACTCTGAGATGTCAGTAATACATTTTTGGAAAGGGATACGTAATTGCCTTACTTGGTACAGACTGATCTTTTAATTTAAAATGGGATAGTAATCTTGATGTGAACTTTTCAAGGTGATGGGGTAGTTTATTAGCAGAAATATATGTAAATGTTATAATAGCAAGATATGTGCTGTATTTTTTTTTTTTTTATGGATCGCGGTATTGAAAGAAAATTGTATGAGTTTTGTATGCATGTTACTGACAAATGAACTATTTCTATCTATTAAAGAGAGAGTTAATTTAACTAGTGAATGTTATGTTTTTTTCCAAAGAAAAGTTTACTTGCAAAAGAACAAAATTGTGTATTTCCTGGTTCCTGTATGGGCTTTTCTTTGCATCTGATGAGTTTTACACAGGGATCCCAACCTGGAGAAAAGTAATTTCAGGGAGGTGCTCTCTATCCCCCCCCCCATATTTGCTATTGGCTCTTTCAATTTGCAATAGCCAATAGCAAGCTGGCTATTGCACCTGCCCTCTGCTGCTATCAATCAGCAGAGGAGGACCTGAGGGAGAACTTCAGGTCCACCTCTGCTGATTTACCGCAGCAGTGGGGGGGGGGGGTGCAATAGCTAGTCTGCTATTGGCTAATGCAAATTAAAATAGCAATCTAGCTATGCATTTCTATGCTGTTTTTTTTTTCTCTGACTGACGGTGGCCAGTGGCCTCGATGTCAGAAAGAAAAAAAAACAGATGGCAGGGGAAGGTTTACTCTGCTAGATCGAGCAGAGTAAACTTTTGCGGGAGAAAATGTTTCTCTCCCGGAACCTGCATCTAATATCGGGAGACTTCCGGGAGAGTTGGGATGTCTGGTTTTACGTTGCTATACAAGTCTATGGGAATGCAAAACCCAAAAACCGACTTGAAGCAGGTCAACTGCAGATCAAATGGATGTGTCAATGGATTCTGAATTATGTTAGAAGCGTCTCAAACTGATGCCGTTGACACAGGTCCTAATACAGCACTAAGGAGAAATTCAATGTACAATGACTACTAATTTAGAGGAAACATTTCCTGAGAGAAACATGGAAGCTGCCATTGCTAATGTCAATGTGCAAACGCTAGTTTCCTAGATGTCATACTGAGCCTGTGGCTTCAATACTATGGGTCACTAACCCAGACCCAACTATGATTCTCTTATCTTTATACTTGTTCCAGATCAGTGACTCGGGGCCAGTTCACACCACAAAGAGTGTGTTCCAGAGCGTTCGGTCTCTGTAACTCAAGCCGGCTGGCTCCCTGCGTTCAGAGGCAGGAGAGTGCGTTGCAGTGCATTGAAGTCAATGGCACCGCACCCATGCCCCCCACCCGCACATGGCACATTATTGCCTGCGTTCCGGTCCAGTGCGATCTGCAAAAATGCATGCACGATTTTTGCAGATCGCACTTGACCGGAACGCAGGCACTAATGTGCCCCTCGTTCAGGTGCGGGTGGGGGACGTGGTTGTGGTGCAAT